GAAAAAAGTATCCAGAAAATCACATTGTAGGATTTTTAATGAATTTATTTCCAGATTATGGTGGAAAATAAGTATTTGGTCAATAACAAAAGTTTGTCAATACTTTGTTATATACCCTTTGTTGGCAATGACACAGGTCAAACGTTTTCTGTAAGTCTTCACAAGGTTTTCACACACTGTTGCTGGTATTTTGGCCCATTCCTCCATGCAGATCTCCTCTAGAGCAGTGATGTTTTGGGGCTGTCGCTGGGCAACACGGACTTTCAACTCCCTCCAAAGATGTTCTATGGGGTTGAGATCTGGAGACTGGCTAGGCCACTCCAGGACCTTGAAATGCTTCTTACGAAGCCACTCCTTCGTTGCCCGGGCGGTGTGTTTGGGATCATTGTCATGCTGAAAGACCCAGCCACGTTTCATCTTCAATGCCCTTGCTGATGGAAGGAGGTTTTCACTCAAAATCTCACGATACATGGCCCCATTCATTCTTTCCTTTACACGGATCAGTCGTCCTGGTCCCTTTGCAGAAAAACAGCCCCAAAGCATGATGTTTCCACCCCCATGCTTCACAGAAGGTATGGTGTTCTTTGGATGCAACTCAGCATTCTTTGTCCTCCAAACACGACGAGTTGAGTTTTTACCAAAAAGTTATATTTTGGTTTCATCTGACCATATGACATTCTCCCAATCCTCTTCTGGATCATCCAAATGCACTCTAGCAAACTTCAGACGGGCCTGGACATGTACTGGCTTAAGCAGGGGGACACGTCTGGCACTGCAGGATTTGAGTCCCTGGCGGCTAGTGTGTTACTGATGGTAGGCTTTGTTACTTTGGTCCCAGCTCTCTGCAGGTCATTCACTAGGTCCCCCCGTGTGGTTCTGGGATTTTTGCTCACCGTTCTTGTGATCATTTTGACCCCACGGGGTGAGATCTTGCGTGGAGCCCCAGATCGAGGGAGATTATCAGTGGTCTTGTATGTCTTCCATTTCCTAATAATTGCTCCCACAGTTGATTTCTTCAAACCAAGCTGCTTACCTATTGCAGATTCAGTCTTCCCAGCCTGGTGCAGGTCTACAATTGTGTTTCTGGTGTCCTTTGACAGCTCTTTGGTCTTGGCCATAGTGGAGTTTGGAGTGTGACTGTTTGAGGTTGTGGACAGGTGTCTTTTATACTGATAACAAGTTCAAACAGGTCCCATTAATACAGGTAACGAGTGGAGGACAGAGGAGCCTCTTAAAGAAGAAGTTACAGGTCTGTGAGAGCCAGAAATCTTGCTTGTTTGTAGGTGACCAAATACTTATTTTCCACCATAATTTGCAAATATATTCATAAAAAATCCTACAATGTGATTTTCTGGAATTTTTTTCTCAATTTGTCTGTCATAGTTGACATGTACCTATGATGAAAATTACAGGCCTCTCTCATCTTTTTAAGTGGGAGAACTTGCACAATTGGTGGCTGACTAAATACTTTTTTTCCCCACTGTAGTTTTGAATCAAGTGTTGTTTTGCATATCAGTTCATAAACTATGTGACACGGACTCCGCACATCGAAAATCTCTTCCCAACTATTTTGTAACCTGTATGGCACTGCAGTCAACATTTTGGTCCTCAAGTAAAACTGATATATATATATATATATATATATATATATATATATATATATACAGTGGGGAAAAAAGGTATTTAGTCAGCCACCAATTTTGCAAGTTCTCCCACTTAAAAAGATGAGAGAGGCCTGTAATTTTCATCATAGGTACACGTCAACTATGACAGACAAATTGAGAAAAAAAATTCCAGAAAATCACATTGTAGGATTTTTTATGAATATATTTGCAAATTATGGTGGAAAATAAGTATTTGGTCACCTACAAACAAGCAAGATTTCTGGCTCTCACAGACCTGTAACTTCTTCTTTAAGAGGCTCCTCTGTCCTCCACTCGTTACCTGTATTAATGGCACCTGTTTGAACTTGTTATCAGTATAAAAGACACCTGTCCACAACCTCAAACAGTCACACTCCAAACTCCACTATGGCCAAGACCAAAGAGCTGTCAAAGGACACCAGAAACACAATTGTAGACCTGCACCAGGCTGGGAAGACTGAATCTGCAATAGGTAAGCAGCTTGGTTTGAAGAAATCAACTGTGGGAGCAATTATTAGGAAATGGAAGACATACAAGACCACTGATAATCTCCCTCGATCTGGGGCCCCACGCAAGATCTCACCCCGTGGGGTCAAAATGATCACAAGAACGGTGAGCAAAAATCCCAGAACCACACGGGGGGACCTAGTGAATGACCTGCAGAGAGCTGGGACCAAAGTAACAAAGCCTACCATCAGTAACACACTACGCCGCCAGGGACTCAAATCCTGCAGTGCCAGACGTGTCCCCCTGCTTAAGCCAGTACATGTCCAAGCCCGTCTGAAGTTTGCTAGAGTGCATTTGGATGATCCAGAAGAGGATTGGGAGAATGTCATATGGTCAGATGAAACCAAAATATAACTTTTTGGTAAAAAACTCAACTCGTCGTGTTTGGAGGACAAAGAATGCTGAGTTGCATCCAAAGAACACCATACCTTCTGTGAAGCATGGGGGTGGAAACATCATGCTTTGGGGCTGTTTTTCTGCAAAGGGACCAGGACGACTGATCCGTGTAAAGGAAAGAATGAATGGGGCCATGTATCGTGAGATTTTGAGTGAAAACCTCCTTCCATCAGCAAGGGCATTGAAGATGAAACGTGGCTAGGTCTTTCAGCATGACAATGATCCCAAACACACCGCCCGGGCAACGAAGGAGTGGCTTCGTAAGAAGCATTTCAAGGTCCTGGAGTGGCCTAGCCAGTCTCCAGATCTCAACCCCATAGAAAATCTTTGGAGGGAGTTGAAAGTCCGTGTTGCCCAGCGACAGCCCCAAAACATCACTGCTCTAGAGGAGATCTGCATGGAGGAATGGGCCAAAATACCAGCAACAGTGTGTGAAAACCTTGTGAAGACTTACAGAAAACGTTTGACCTGTGTCATTGCCAACAAAGGGTATATAACAAAGTATTGACAAACTTTTGTTATTGACCAAATACTTATTTTCCACCATAATCTGGAAATAAATTCATTAAAAATCCTACAATGTGATTTTCTGGATAATTTTTTCTCATTTTGTCTGTCATAGTTGACGTGTACCTATGATGAAAATTACAGGCCTCTCTCATCTTTTTAAGTGGGAGAACTTGCACAATTGGTGGCTGACTAAATACTTTTTTCCCCCACTGTATATATATATATATATTTTATGACTTTTTTGCCAGTTTTGGTTTTTAATAATGGGTAGACAAACAAGTTCCCTACCTTCTCACCCTTCCACTTGCCTCCTCCCTTTTCTGCGGTAATGCTGCAATCAGTTGGTTGTAATTTTGGATAGAGCAAACATTTCCATATATGTTTGTTAACTGCATGTGACATAACTCCACCATTCCTATTCATAATATCATTAACAAAGATAATTCCTTTTAAAAACTTTTTTCCATAAATAATGTAAAAAAGTACAATAATCAATTAGTATATTTGAATTTAACCATATTATTTGTTGTAATATTTGTTCTGTCTTTTCTGGAGGATGCAATTGATCTTTGACTATTCAACATTGAACATAATAATATAACAATAATAATAATAATAATATAACATATATCATATATAATATAACATCATGATAAAGGCGAAAAGATTTTGATCTAGTCAGATACATTAAGAAAATGCCAAAGCATTTATTTAATTCGCTTTCTTTATTCATCCCTAAGAAACGGTGAGAATTGTTAACAATAATGTAATTGTATTCAACTGTTTATTTCCTCCGTTTGTCTTGGAGAGAAGGGAGGACATTTTCCTCTTGTGGAAGAAGGGGCGGTGCCTCTGGCTGAGCCTTTGTGGACGAGGCTCTACAGTTGTTCAGAGTCCCTGCCCTTCTGTACTGTCTGGCTGAACGGGTGGAGATGGTAACAGGGTGCTGTAGTAATGCCCTATAGGCTTCTCCATTCCTCCGACTCCCATGGGACCTTTCTTAGATCCTACAGAGAGGAAACTTTGAGCTTGTACTAGTTTTTGACCAAATATGGAAATATGGCCATTTGATCTTCTTTCTTTTCTGTTTTTAAGAGGATATATTAGATTAATTTCTCTGAAAACTTAAACCAAACTAGCCTTGTTCTGGCAAATCTGTTCTTATGGGTTCATTGGGACAGGGTGTCCAGCTGGTTTAACAAAGACAATGCAATTCTATGGTAAGAGTAATTTTTCTCATAAGTCATTGCATGTGTGCCTCAGAAGCACACAGGACATTTTAACTGCATGAGGTAATTGGTATCATAGGAAAGTTATTAGCTATGGTAGCTTCAAGCCTATGCAAAGTGCTGGTTTGAACTTTCAAAATAGGCTCTTAAACAGAGGGTTAGAAAACGTTTGCATTGTGGTATACCAAATGTTTTGACAAAGAATGCTGGATTCAAGGGCCAGGACTACACTCCTCACAGGATGTTGAGACATGTACTGAGCCTGTTCTCATAAGACTAAGGCGTAGCCTGCCATGCAGTACGGAACACATTGTACTGCAACTGTACATGTGGCATTTTTTTTCAATGAATTGATACGTCATGATGATGTACTTCATATCTGTGATATGGACGCTTTAGAGGTGTAAAGACAACTAATTAAATGTCCCATGAAACGTTCTAGTCGGTGTTAGATGTTTTCCACGTGTTCCAGTTGAAATGTATCAACATTGTGAGGATTCTGAAGAAATGCAGATATGAACGCATGCAACAGTGTTGGACATTTCAGTAACTTTTTATTTGAGGAAAGAGTTCTGTTGGGCTCAATACAGAGCCTGTTACAGAGCCTAAGGATGTCAGTAAACATGCTATGGCGTGAGAAAAACGCTCAACCTGCGAGATGCTTTTCTCATAGAGTTTAAACAATATTTCCTTTTATTGTCTCAATAATTTTTCTGTACACTTATGCCCTTGTTGTGTGACAGAATCTATGTAAGAAAACAAACCTGTGGATAGTCAGGCCTTAATTTAAAACAGTAGTCAAAAGTCAAGCAAAACAATGAAGATGAAAAAATGAAAGAGTCCACCACCAAAGAGTGCAAAACAACTAAAAATGTTTACAAAGCAAAATGAAAGGAGCATTTATTTAGAAACTTTATTTTTGATTTTACAAATTTGTCTCCTCCAAAGAATTTTCAAATCGATGTTATTAAATTAAATCAAAATCAAGTGAAAACAATATCAATGTTGTGAACAACAACCATTATCACAACCCATTCAACATACAGAGTCATACATTTACATCTCCGTCCCTCCGTCACAAGTCTCTTTCTGTTACTTATTTTCATCTATCTGGTTAGAAAGGATTATTTCTTTGCACAAACGAGAGAAAAAATTGAAGTTGCATCATGACCACGTTTCGTGATTGTTAGTTCAGACTGTGCACGTCTCATTTTTCATCAATTGTAGTGGTATAGGTAGGTCGTTAATTCATTGCAATTAGCACCGTTACTGTGTTTCTTTAAATTAGGGATCAGCTTAGCACCTCGTCCCAATTGAGACTAGTTTTCGTACTGTGGGTCAGCTGATGAGCTTAGATGACAAGGTCCTTGTCGACATCCTCTGAAAACAGAAAGAAAAAAAAAACAAGCCCTCCATTAACAAGCAATAATGAAATGGCCTGCTATGAACCATTTCAAAAATCAAAACCAGACCGTAAAATAGAAGGACGGGAAGACGTGGCTGCGTCAGAAATGGCACCCTGTGCCCTATATTCCCCATAGGGCTCTAGTCAAAAGTAGTGCACTATGTAGGGAATAGGGTGCCATTTCAGACACAAACCAATAAAGGCATTGTAACAGAGTGCCTCGGTCCTCCTAGTTTCTTTGAGTGTAAACTGTGAATGAGGTGTTTAAACTACTCACGCTCCTCCTAGTTTCTTTGAGTGTAAACTGTGAATGAGGTGTTAAAACTACTCACGCTCCTTGATGCTAAAGCAGTTGGCCCACTCCTCCAGGGCGATGTACTTGTCATTGTCGGCGTCGCACTGCTCGAAGAAGCGAGTGGTGCAGTGCTCCATGGGGATGAGAGGAGCGCGCAGGGGGGCCAGCTCTGTGTGGGACAGGAACCTACAACGCCACAGAAAACCTGTTATGAAGCATCTATGCAGGCCTTATAAAGGATTTATAAAGGCTTTGTAAGCTGTAGTTTTAGACCCTAGAAAACATCATAGAGAAACATGTTACCCATATGATCCTTCGGCATTTAAAAGTCAGTATTGTGAAGTATGAACAGCCCCAATGTAGCACTGTCAGTTGCTTTTTTGCTTATAAAACAATACATTCAGGCATGCTGCTAATATCCTTTCTGAGACATTTTCAGTTTCAGTATTGATGTCCTGGCTGGCACAGAGTTGAGTCAAAGGTATAGCCCAAGCAAGCCTGTATTTGTGTGATGTTGATACAATCCAGCTGAAGCAGAAGACAAACTCTTCTTCTCCTCTACCTACCCATCGACGGGGTGCTGGTCCAGCTGACCGAACTGCCAGTGGACGGGGAAGATGTACATGTTGTAGTTCTTCTCAAAGTCGTGGGCCAGCAGGTCCAGGGAGTGCTCTCCAGCCTGAAGTCTCTTCTCATTCTCATAAATCTTCCTCACCTGCAAGGCAAGTAACATTTTTGCAAACATTAGTTTGTCTAATAATCTTTTGAATTGAACAAACTGATAAATAATTCCCAGTGGGATTCGATGCACAAAGGAGTCGACATCATAGTGAGAGCAGAACATCAAATCCTATAATCATATTTGGTTTATTAATTATTTCGACCCATCCGCAGAGTTCGGTAAATGAACGCAAGCAAAATGAATTGGTTCTGTGCTGTGTTTAATAATGATGTTGACCCTTCCTCAGTAGGCAAACATAGTGCAGTAAATGGGTTCTGTGCTGTGCATATAGAAATGGCTAAGTGGACTTACTCTGAGCTTCTGCTTCTCGGTCAGGAGGTTATTCTCCTCATCGCGCTCGTACAGGGTGACCAGAACGTTCTTCAGCCAGTCCCTCATACGCAGGGGGAACTCATTCAGCTCAGCATCAATGCAGGTCTCGATGACTGGAAAAATAAACAGGAAGAAGAATGAGGTATATGTTAGAGCTATTCTGTCCACACAGGGCTCCATGACTGGAGAGACACACAGGAAGAAACATTAGGTATGGTCAGAGAGAAAGGGAAACAGGGAAGACCCAGGAACAGCTGGAGAAGGTTTGTTCAATGACCTATGGTCCCCAAGGAGCCAAAGGGTTTCATTTAATTAAGTCAAGTAAGTCTTGGTCAAAAAGTTGTTTTGCAAGTAGGACATTCAAGTCAAAATCTACAATTCCATTTCTCAAACCATCATGGTCCAGCCTTTTGTCATAGAACATAAAACCCACAACTCACACAAAATGTGACATTTGTGTCCATTGAAATGTGTGGTTGATGCGCACGGTCCCTAAGGCAATGATTTTGTACCTTTTGTTTTATCCCTTGGTTAAATACTGTACCTGACATTTAGAGGCCACTAGTTTTTTTTGTTGTTGGAGCTCCACGACATGCAACAACATGATCTCCATCTGTGCCCTTCAGTCCTAAGGTACTCATCACCAGCAGAGAGAGATGCATGGGCTTGGTTCTGTTTAATGACAGACATTCAGCTGCAGATTCAGCGGTAGTTTGAGAAGGGCAGCAATGCAGTGAGCATGTTACAGCCTGCCCCGTGTTGTGGTCCTTAAGGCGAGGTCCCCTCTAGTTCAGCCCATGAATCATTCTCTGTGGAGAAGCTTTCAGCTCCAAGACAGCATAACCAATCACAGTGGGAATGGACTCTCAGAGGAAATTTAAGGGGGATTCTCAAAAAGGTGAAAATGATTGCACTGAATTGAATGGTTGTATTAAAACGTTCTCAACCTGGGCGGGTTAATACATTGAATTGCAATGAATTTAATAAAATTAAATCCATGAATGTTTGTAACTATAAAGCGTAGCTCACATTTGCATGACCCGATGTAGTCTAGGTGCAGCTTGTGGCCCTTCTTGGTCCCCTCCAGACTGCACTTGTGGGCAAAGAAGTGGCAGGAAGAGTCGTAGGTTGTGTTGTCGGTGGCGCAAACCTGGGATACACAGATTACATTCATGAATCAGACAGAAATTACAGTATTTCAAGAATGAGCCAATGATGCATATCAGTAGTAGCATTATTGTACAGGTCAAGGTTCTATTAGGAAGAGCGTTATATATGAGACATATCTAGACCTACTGGATGTCGGTCTGAACAGAGTAGAATATGATTTCTATGATGATAACTCACATGCTCAAACTCTCCAAGGGCAGCGGGGCAGGTAGTGGGGTCCTGGCAGACACACATGGGGGTGTTCTCCTCATCCACCTCACACACCTTTCCCTTCTTGCAGTGGTGGTTCAAGCAGGGGTCTACAAAGGAATCAACAAAAAATGTTCAAACATTCTGGAACATAAAAAATGGAACATATCGGAAGTGTTCTTTTGCCCTTGAATTTCCTGCTAAGTTATTAAACAGATAGACAGATATTCCTGGTGGTAGTTAGCAGAGAAGGAGTGTGGCGGTGCCCCTGCCAATTAGGAGAAGGGTTTATTTTCAGTTTCCAAGAAGCTTGGTGGAACCATTGGGTGGAACACATAATGATAGGTCTCTCTTTTGAGACAGAAGTACTCTGTCATTTCTAACGTGTTCCCCCCTCTCTCTCTCTACCATCTAGCCAACATCTCACAACACGCCCACTGCAAAGGAGCACCAACATACAGCTTCATTTGATTTATGTTGTCACACCTCTACTAAACCTAAGCAGCCTAAAATATATACTAGCCCAGGGATCATCAACTAGATTCCGATTTTTTTCTTGAGTGGATGGTCAGGGGAGACGGAACGTAATTACAAATAATTTGTAGACTGCAAATTGATCACAAGAAGCCCAAACAGATATAATATTTGACTAAAAATGTTTCTTAAACCTTGCTTACATTTGCATAAGATCACGTGTCTCTGTATTATGCAGATTTCCAAAGTTAAAATCACTTGGAGCTGATTTATTTTTACAGTCTTCGTTTATAAATAAAATAATACAACTATAAAACCTTTTTTCTTCTTCTTTGTTCAGATAACTTCGGGAATAATAAAATCCCCCCCGTGGGCCAAATTTGTCCTGTGGGCCGCCAGTTGGGGAACCCTGTACTAGCTATTGTGTGTTTTAACTTTACAATAATAGCTATAATTTACTGTAGCCAGGCAGACTGTTAGCTTGGTGAATGTTCCCAATTATCGTTGTAATATGTGGTAAACTAGGACTTTAAATAAGCTTTCCTTCACAGAAGGAATTGGTGATTAGGTATTATTTTCTCACAGTGTCTGTCGTGCGACAGTAGTGATTAGTGATTACAATGGCTATTACTCACTCTCATCGGTGACATCCTCCTCCTCCACATCGATGGCCTCGTCAAAGTCTCCAGTCTCTACCTGCACTGGGTTGGCCCCCACCTCTGGCTGTGCCTGAAACAAACCAATCACAACATGGAGCCGTCACTAGAGATATAGTACTTCAACAGTTTGATTCAACACATTTAAAGTAAAAATATACCATGTCAAAGATAACAGTATTCTACATAAGCTATGGGCAATGCTGATAATTTGGTAGCACAACTTTATTACCAGAAAATGAAGCTGTAGCTAAATCTCTTCAGTTATCAAGGGGCACTGCAGAATAAAGTGTAGCAGACGTCTGTACTTCAGACAGGTCCAGAGAGAGGACTAGCAGACGTCTGTACTTCAGACAGGTCTAGAGAGAGGACTAGCAGACGTCTGTACTTCAGACAGGTCCAGAGAGAGGACTACCAGACGTCTGTACTTCAGACAGGTCCAGAGAGAGGACTAGCAGACGTCTGTACTTCAGACAGGTCCAGAGAGAGGACTAGCAGACGTCTGTACTTCAGACAGGTCTAGAGAGAGGACTAGCAGACGTCTGTACTTCAGACAGGTCCAGGGAGAGGACTAGCAGACGTCTCTACTTCAGACAGGTCCAGAGAGAGGACTAGCAGACGTCTGTACTTCAGATAGGTCCAGAGAGAGGACTAGCAGACGTCTGTACTTCAGACAGGTCTAGAGAGAGGACTAGCAGACGTCTGTACTTCAGACAGGTCCAGAGAGAGGACTAGCAGACGTCTCTACTTCAGACAGGTCCAGAGAGAGGACTAGCAGACGTCTGTACTTCAGACAGGTCTAGAGAGAGGACTAGCAGACGTCTGTACTTCAGACAGGCCCAGAGAGAGGACTAGCAGACGTCTCTACTTCAGACAGGTCCAGAGAGAGGACTAGCAGACGTCTGTACTTCAGACAGGTCCAGAGAGAGGACTAGCAGACGTCTGTACTTCAGACAGGTCTAGAGAGAGGACTAGCAGACGTCTGTACTTCAGACAGGCCCAGAGAGAGGACTAGCAGACGTCTCTACTTCAGACAGGTCCAGAGAGAGGACTAGCAGACGTCTGTACTTCAGACAGGTCCAGAGAGAGGACTAGCAGACGTCTGTACTTCAGACAGGTCCAGAGAGAGAGGACTAGCAGACGTCTGTACTTCAGACAGGTCCAGAGAGAGGACTAGCAGACGTCTGTACTTCAGACAGGTCTAGAGAGAGGACTAGCAGACGTCTGTACTTCAGACAGGCCCAGAGAGAGGACTAGCAGACGTCTCTACTTCAGACAGGTCCAGAGAGAAGACTAGCAGACGTCTGTACTTCAGACAGGTCCAGAGAGAGGACTAGCAGACGTCTGTACTTCAGACAGGTCCAGAGAGAGGACTAGCAGACGTCTGTACTTCAGACAGGTCCAGAGAGAGGACTAGCAGACGTCTAAAAACAACAAGCAGCCTGCAGCTGGATGGGATGGATAGAGCCTGAGCCACATGTGGTGAAGCCATTAAAACGTCATGGTTTCCTGTCCGCTGTATTAATAACCTGTGGGATTCTGCCCTCTCTCTCCCTCTCTCTTCTCTATATCTCTCTCTCTCTCTTATCTCCGGGGGAACTCTCTCTCTCTCTCGATCTCTCTCTCCCTATATCTCTCTCTCTCTCTCTCTCTCTCTTCTCTCTCTCTCTGCTATTTCTCTCTCCTCTCTCTCTCTCTCTCTCTCTCTCTTCTCTCTCTTTCTCTTCTATCTCTCTCTCTCTCTTCTCTCTCTCTCTCAACGCTACATTACAGGAAATGGTCCAACATTCAAGGGGAAAAGTCCTGTGCCACAAAATGGTTGAGAATAAATTATTTCAATCAAAGTTGTACTGTTAACTTTGTTAACTTGTCAAAAGTGACCCGGAGAGAGTAAAGAATAAATCTAGTGTCAATGTTTTTCATCTGGCTGTGTTTTGATTCCTATACTACAATATTCCTAATTCGCTCCCACCTGTGAAAGTATCTCTACCCACTAGGCACAGATGTCAATTCAACGTCTATTTCACGTTGGTTCAACAACATTTTATTGAAATGATGTGGAAACAACGTTGATTCAACCAGTGTGTGCCCAGTGGGTATGTTCAAGATGTGTGATGTTGTTTTTCCACTAAGCACACCTGTAAACAATTCTGTAAACAAGTCAATGACCTTACCTCCTCAAACAACATCATCAACGATGGGCTCCTCCTGAAATGGTGACCATGGTGTTATTATGATTGCTTACCATGTTTTTTCAGTGTCAATACAAGTGAACACACACCAGGCAGGCACACACACTCACACACACACACACACACTCACACACAAACACACACACACACACTCACACACACACAGGCACGCACGCACACACACACCAGGCAGGCATACACACACTCACACACACACACTCACACACAAAAACACACACACACACACACACACACACACACACCACACACACACACACACACACACACACACACACAACAAAGGGACACTTACAATGGAAGCGGTGAATGAAAGCCTGGCCAGCTAGGCACAGTAGGAAGATGACCCACACCTTCATCATTCAGTCTAGAGAGGCACAAAGATGAACATTTAATACACATTAACACATTCAATTCAACTGACTTTGGTTTATAATGAGTTGCAGTTGAGGTCATATTCCTTTCCAGTTTACCGTCTGTCTAGAGCAGAACTATGTACTGTATACTATATACAAAGTGCATAAAGTGTATGGGCCAGACTCAGTCCAGACATTTACTCAGGCGTGGTCAAACAAGTCAAGCAGGGACAATACAAGATGCTACTCCAAGAATCACAAAGGCTCATGGGTAGCGTTTGGTTCCAGACAAACCGCTCACTGTCCTGTCTGATTATAGGGAGAAAGCTATGCTCACATTCTTTGTGGTTAGCTCAAATGACTCTCTTCAATTCAATCACCGGAGCTGAATTCAGTCTCCTGTTCGACTTTGTATTTCCACCCCAGTTAACAGATAGTAAGAGAAGTCATGTATTCTAGTGCTAGTAGCCTACAGTATTACATTTGAGCTCTACTTGTATAGACTTTTAGTCTATGATCACAATCCACCTTCTTTAGGGACAGGCATCCCACTGGGCACACCACGCCATCTTTTAGAAATGTGGGTTCATATTTGGTTGAGACGTTTCAACTTTTACTCACCCACTCAAAAAGATAGATATTGATCAATGAGATTCCAACCTATTTTCACATACTCAAAAAAGACAGCCGGAAATGTGTTGGATTCCCAACGTGTTATCACTATGCTTTCAACAATTACAATGGAAAAAAACAATGTCGGGTTTTTATCACTGCGCTTTCAATATCAGATATTTTGTATTTATACAACAACTTAATGTGTTATCACTGTGCTTCATCTAATAGAACAACCAAATGACCTGGGTTGCAGTTGAGATTACATTAATAGTACATTAACAGTACATTAAAAGTACATGATCAATGCTGTTCGAGATTCTGCGCAGATTATTATAGCAACTGTGAAGATCTCCACAGACCTGAAACCTTTGCACACTATCTTGAGCAATGCACCGCTTTCTATGATTACGTAAGAAGACATTTATAGTTACACTAACCTCAGAATGTGGCCATGGATGTGTTACTCATTTTGATGTTGAATAAATACATTCGTTTGTGAGATAGCCTTAACTATAGTCATATTGAATTGTGTTTGGTTGACAACCCAACCAAATATCAACAAGCTATATAATGCCTGGATAGTTTCATCTGAACTACTGGCTTTAATCAGTTTCTTTAACTTTTATTTTGGTTTTAGTTGGAGACGTGAATCCAACATTTAATTTGTTAACCCCATCAGTCCGAGATCCCAGCTAAAATCGGCTTTTCATTTATCTGCATGTCCAGAAAATATATTTAGCCTCACTGTGAAGTGTTTACCATTTTATTTTCGGACACAGGTCAAGTAGCACAAAATTAGCATGGTATAAAGTCACTAAAAAAAGGGGGTAAAAAAAAGGTTTGGGTAGAAAACAACTGCGAGATGCTTTCTCAAGAGTTAACAATTTCCTTGTTTGTCTAATAATTTCTCACTATGCCTTGTTGTGTGACAGAATCTATGTAAGAAAACAAACCTGTGGATAGTCAGGCCTTAATTTTAAAAACAGTAGTCAAAAGTCAAGCAAAACAATGAAGATGAAAAATGAAAGAGTCCACCACCAAAGAGTGCAAAACAACTAAAAATGTTTACAAAGCAAAATGAAAGGAGCATTTATTTAGAAACTTTATTTTTGATTTTACAAATTTGTCTCCTCCAAAGAATTTTCAAATCGATGTTATTAAATTAAATCAAAATCAAGTGAAAACAATATCAATGTTGTGAACAACAACCATTATCACAACCCATTCAACATACAGAGTCATACATTTACATCTCCGTCCCTCCGTCACAAGTCTCTTTCTGTTACTTATTTTCATCTATCTGGTTAGAAAGGATTATTTCTTTGCACAAACGAGAGAAAAAATTGAAGTTGCATCATGACCACGTTTCGTGATTGTTAGTTCAGACTGGCACCGTCTCATTTTTCATCAATTGTAGTGGTATAGGTAGGTCGTTAATTCATTGCAATTAGCCACCGTTACTGTGTTTCTTTAAATTAGGGATCAGCTTAGCACCTCGTCCCAATTGAGACTAGTTTTCGTACTGTGGGTCAGCTGATGAGCTAGATGACAAGGTCCTTGTCGACATCCTCTGAAAACAGAAAAAAAAAAAAAAACAAGCCCTCCATTAACAAGCAATAATGAAATGGCCTGCTATGAACCATTTCAAAAATCAAAACCAGACCGTAAAATAGAAGGACGGGAAGACGTGGCTGCGTCAGAATGGCTCCCTGTGCCCTATATTCCCCATAGGGCTCTAGTCAAAAGTAGTGCACTATGTAGGGAATAGGGTGCCATTTGGGGACACCAAACAATAAAGGCATTGTAACAGAGTGCCTCGGTCCTCCTAGTTTCTTTTGAGTGTAAACTGTGAATGAGGGTGTTAAAACTACTCACGCTCCTTGATGCTGAAGCAGTTGGCCCACTCCTCCAGGGCGATGTACTTGTCATTGTCGGCCGTCCGCACTGCCTCGAAGAAGCGAGTGGTGCAGTGCTCCATGGGGATGAGAGGAGCGCGCAGGGGGGCCAGCTCTGTGTGGGACAGGAACCTACAACGCCACAGAAAACCTGTTATGAAGCATCTATGCAGGCCTTATAAAGGATTTATAAAGGCTTTGTAAGCTTGTAGTTTTAGACCCTAGAAAACATCATAGAGAAACATGTTACCCATATGATCCTTCGGCATTTAAAAGTCAGTATTGTGAAGTATGAACAGCCCCAATGTAGCACTGTCAGTTGCTTTTTTGCTTATAAAACAATACATTCAGGCATGCTGCTAATATCCTTTCTGAGACATTTTCAGTTTCAGTATTGATGTCCTGGCTGGCACAGAGTTGAGTCAAAGGTATAGCCCAAGCAAGCCTGTATTTGTGTGATGTTGATACAATCCAGCTGAAGCAGAAGACAAACTCTTCTTCTCCTCTACCTACCCATCGACGGGGGGTGCTGGTCCAGCTGACCGAACTGCCAGTGGACGGGGAAGATGTACATGTTGTAGTTCTTCTCAAAGTCGTGGGCCAGCAGGTCCAGGGAGTGCTCTCCAGCCTGAAGTCTCTTCTCATTCTCATAAATCTTCCTCACCTGCAAGGCAAGTAACATTTTTGCAAACATTAGTTTGTCTAATAATCTTTTGAATTGAACAAACTGATAAATAATTCCCAGTGGGATTCGATGCACAAAGGAGTCGACATCATAGTGAGAGCAGAACATCAAATCCTATAATCATATTTGGTTTATTAATTATTTCGACCCATCCGCAGAGTTCGGTAAATGAACGCAAGCAAAATGAATTGGTTCTGTGCTGTGTTTAATAATGATGTTGACCCTTCCTCAGTAGGCAAAACATAGTGCAGTAAATGGGTTCTGTGCTGTGCATATAGAAATGGCTAAGTGGACTTACTCTGAGCTTCTGCTTCTCGGTCAGGAGGTTATTCTCCTCATCGCGCTCGTACAGGGTGACCAGAACGTTCTTCAGCCAGTCCCTCATACGCAGGGGGAACTCATTCAGCTCAGCATCAATGCAGGTCTCGATGACTGGAAAAATAAACAGGAAGAAGAATGAGGTATATGTTAGAGCTATTCTGTCCACACAGGGCTCCATGACTGGAGAGACACACAGGAAGAAACATTAGGTATGGTCAGAGAGAAAGGGAAACAGGGAAGACCCAGGAACAGCTGGAGAAGGTTTGTTCAATGACCTATGGTCCCCAAGGAGCCAAAGGGTTTCATTTAATTAAGTCAAGTAAGTCTTGGTCAAAAAGTTGTTTTGCAAGTAGGACATTCAAGTCAAAATCTACAATTCCATTTCTCAAACCATCATGGTCCAGCCTTTTGTCATAGAACATAAAACCCACAAACTCACACAAAATGTGACATTTGTGTCCATTGAAATGTGTGGTTGATGCGCACGGTCCCTAAGGCAATGATTTTGTACCTTTTGTTTTATCCCTTGGTTAAATACTGTACCTGACATTTAGAGGCCACTAGTTTTTTTTTGTTGTTGGAGCTCCACGACATGCAACAACATGATCTCCATCTGTGCCCTTCAGTCCTAAGGTACTCATCACCAGCAGAGAGAGATGCATGGGCTTGGTTCTGTTTAATGACAGACATTCAGCTGCAGATTCAGCGGTAGTTTGAGAAGGGCAGCAATGCAGTGAGCATGTTACAGCCTGCCCCGTGTTGTGGTCCTTAAGGCGAGGTCCCCTCTAGTTCAGCCCATGAATCATTCTCTGTGGAGAAGCTTTCAGCTCCAAGACAGCATAACCAATCACAGTGGGAATGGACTCTCAGAGGAAATTTAAGGGGGATTCTCAAAAAGGTGAAAATGATTGCACTGAATTGAATGGTTGTATTAAAACGTTCTCAACCTGGGCGGGTTAATACATTGAATTGCAATGAATTTAATAAAATTAAATCCATGAATGTTTGTAACTATAAAGCGTAGCTCACATTTGCATGACCCGATGTAGTCTAGGTGCAGCTTGTGGCCCTTCTTGGTCCCCTCCAGACTGCACTTGTGGGCAAAAGAAGTGGCAGGAAGAGTCGTAGGTTGTGTTGTCGGTGGCGCAAACCTGGGATACACAGATTACATTCATGAATCAGACAGAAATTACAGTATTTCAAGAATGAGCCAATGATGCATATCAGTAGTAGCATTATTGTACAGGTCAAGGTTCTATTAGGAAGAGCGTTATATATGAGACATATCTAGACCTACTGGATGTCGGTCTGAACAGAGTAGAATATGATTTCTATGATGATAACTCACATGCTCAAACTCTCCAAGGGCAGCGGGGGCAGGTAGTGGGGTCCTGGCAGACACACATGGGGGTGTTCTCCTCATCCACCTCACACACCTTTCCCTTCTTGCAGTGGTGGTTCAAGCAGGGGTCTACAAAGGAATCAACAAAAAATGTTCAAACATTCTGGAACATAAAAAATGGAACATATCGGAAGTGTTCTTTTGCCCTTGAATTTCCTGCTAAGTTATTAAACAGATAGACAGATATTCCTGGTGGTAGTTAGCAGAGAAGGAGTGTGGCGGTTGCCCCTGCCAATTAGGAGAAGGGTTTATTTTCAGTTTCCAAGAAGCTTGGTGGAACCATTGGGTGGAACACATAATGATAGGTCTCTCTTTTGAGACAGAAGTACTCTGTCATTTCTAACGTGTTCCCCCCTCTCTCTCTCTACCATCTAGCCAACATCTCACAACACGCCCACTGCAAAGGAGCACCAACATACAGCTTCATTTGATTTATGTTGTCACACCTCTACTAAACCTAAGCAGCCTAAAATATATACTAGCCCAGGGATCATCAACTAGATTCCGATTTTTTTCTTGAGTGGATGGTCAGGGGAGACGGAACGTAATTACAAATAATTTGTAGACTGCAAATTGATCACAAGAAGCCCAAACAGATATAATATTTGACTAAAAATGTTTCTTAAACCTTGCTTACATTTGCATAAGATCACGTGTCTCTGTATTATGCAGATTTCCAAAGTTAAAATCACTTGGAGCTGATTTATTTTTACAGTCTTCGTTTATAAATAAAATAATACAACTATAAAACCTTTTTTCTTCTTCTTTGTTCAGATAACTTCGGGAATAATAAAATCCCCCCCGTGGGCCAAATTTGTCCTGTGGGCCGCCAGTTGGGGAACCCTGTACTAGCTATTGTGTGTTTTAACTTTACAATAATAGCTATAATTTACTGTAGCCAGGCAGACTGTTAGCTTGGTGAATGTTCCCAATTATCGTTGTAATATGTGGTAAACTAGGACTTTAAATAAGCTTTCCTTCACAGAAGGAATTGGTGATTAGGTATTATTTTCTCACAGTGTCTGTCGTGCGACAGTAGTGATTAGTGATTACAATGGCTATTACTCACTCTCATCGGTGACATCCTCCTCCTCCACATCGATGGCCTCGTCAAAGTCTCCAGTCTCTACCTGCACTGGGTTGGCCCCCACCTCTGGCTGTGCCTGAAACAAACCAATCACAACATGGAGCCGTCACTAGAGATATAGTACTTCAACAGTTTGATTCAACACATTTAAAGTAAAAATATACCATGTCAAAGATAACAGTATTCTACATAAGCTATGGGCAATGCTGATAATTTGGTAGCACAACTTTATTACCAGAAAATGAAGCTGTAGCTAAATCTCTTCAGTTATCAAGGGGCACTGCAGAATAAAGTGTAGCAGACGTCTGTACTTCAGACAGGTCCAGAGAGAGGACTAGCAGACGTCTGTACTTCAGACAGGTCTAGAGAGAGGACTAGCAGACGTCTGTACTTCAGACAGGTCCAGAGAGAGGACTACCAGACGTCTGTACTTCAGACAGGTCCAGAGAGAGGACTAGCAGACGTCTGTACTTCAGACAGGTCCAGAGAGAGGACTAGCAGACGTCTGTACTTCAGACAGGTCTAGAGAGAGGACTAGCAGACGTCTGTACTTCAGACAGGTCCAGGGAGAGGACTAGCAGACGTCTCTACTTCAGACAGGTCCAGAGAGAGGACTAGCAGACGTCTGTACTTCAGATAGGTCCAGAGAGAGGACTAGCAGACGTCTGTACTTCAGACAGGTCTAGAGAGAGGACTAGCAGACGTCTGTACTTCAGACAGGTCCAGAGAGAGGACTAGCAGACGTCTCTACTTCAGACAGGTCCAGAGAGAGGACTAGCAGACGTCTGTACTTCAGACAGGTCTAGAGAGAGGACTAGCAGACGTCTGTACTTCAGACAGGCCCAGAGGAGAGGACTAGCAGACGTCTCTACTTCAGACAGGTCCAGAGAGAGGACTAGCAGACGTCTGTACTTCAGACAGGTCCAGAGAGAGGACTAGCAGACGTCTGTACTTCAGACAGGTCTAGAGAGAGGACTAGCAGACGTCTGTACTTCAGACAGGCCCAGAGAGAGGACTAGCAGACGTCTCTACTTCAGACAGGTCCAGAGAGAGGACTAGCAGACGTCTGTACTTCAGACAGGTCCAGAGAGAGGACTAGCAGACGTCTGTACTTCAGACAGGTCCAGAGAGAGAGGACTAGCAGACGTCTGTACTTCAGACAGGTCCAGAGAGAGGACTAGCAGACGTCTGTACTTCAGACAGGTCTAGAGAGAGGACTAGCAGACGTCTGTACTTCAGACAGGCCCAGAGAGAGGACTAGCAGACGTCTCTACTTCAGACAGGTCCAGAGAGAAAGACTAGCAGACGTTGTACTTCAGACAGGTCCAGAGAGAGGACTAGCAGACGTCTGTACTTCAGACAGGTCCAGAGAGAGGACTAGCAGACGTCTGTACTTCAGACAGGTCCAGAGAGAGAGACTAGCAGACGTCTAAAAACAACAAGCAGCCTGCAGCTGGATGGGATGGATAGAGCCTGAGCCACATGTGGTGAAGCCATTAAAGTATGGTTTCTGTAACAGCTGTAGAATAGGGGATTAAGCATACTTCGGTTCGCAGCTCTCACAGAGAGAAGAAGCAGACGCGTATGAGAAGGTCAAGAGAGGAAATGTAGTCGTACTTTCTATAGGTGCGGAACAGGAGCGAGGATGATAGCAGACGTATACGCCATTCAGTCATAAATTAGCTACTCTTCTTCGTCATCCGCTGCTAGCTCATCGTCTCTCTCTCTCTCTCTCTCTCTCTCTCTCTCTCTCTCTCAAGCTACATTACAGGAAATGGTCAACATTCAAGGGGAAAAGTCCTGTGCCACAAAATGGTTGAGAATAAATTATTTCAATCAAAGTTGTACTGTTAACTTTGTTAACTTGTCAAAAGTGACCCGGAGAGAGTAAAGAATAAATCTAGTGTCAATGTTTTTCATCTGGCTGTGTTTTGATTCCTATACTACAATATTCCTAATTCGCTCCCACCTGTGAAAGTATCTCTACCCACTAGGCACAGATGTCAATTCAACGTCTATTTCACGTTGGTTCAACAACATTTTATTGAAATGATGTGGAAACAACGTTGATTCAACCAGTGTGTGCCCAGTGGGTATGTTCAAGATGTGTGATGTTGTTTTTCCACTAAGCACACCTGTAAACAATTCTGTAAACAAGTCAATGACCTTACCTCCTCAACAACATCATCAACGATGGGCTCCTCCTGAAATGGTGACCATGGTGTTATTATGATTGCTTACCATGTTTTTTCAGTGTCAATACAAGTGAACACACACCAGGCAGGCACACACACTCACACACACACACACACACTCACACACAAACACACACACACACACTCACACACACACAGGCACGCACGCACACACACACCAGGCAGGCATACACACACTCACACACACACACTCACACACAAAAACACACACACACACACACACACACACACACACACACACACACACACACACACACACACACACACACAACAAAGGGACACTTACAATGGAAGCGGTGAAAGCCTGGCCAGCTAGGCACAGTAGGAAGATGACCCACACCTTCATCATTCAGTCTAGAGAGGCACAAAGATGAACATTTAATACACATTAACACATTCAATTCAACTGACTTTGGTTTATAATGAGTTGCAGTTGAGGTCATATTCCTTTCCAGTTTACCGTCTGTCTAGAGCAGAACTATGTACTGTATTACTATATACAAAGTGCATAAAGTGTATGGGCCAGACTCAGTCCAGACATTTACTCAGGCGTGGTCAAACAAGTCAAGCAGGGACAATACAAGATGCTACTCCAAGAATCACAAAGGCTCATGGGTAGCGTTTGGTTCCAGACAAACCGCTCACTGTCCTGTCTGATTATAGGGAGAAAGCTATGCTCACATTCTTTGTGGTTAGCTCAAATGACTCTCTTCAATTCAATCACCGGAGCTGAATTCAGTCTCCTGTTCGACTTTGTATTTCCACCCAGTTAACAGATAGTAAGAGAAGTCATGTATTCTAGTGCTAGTAGCCTACAGTATTACATTTGAGCTCTACTTGTATAGACTTTTAGTCTATGATCACAATCCACCTTCTTTAGGGACAGGCATCCCACTGGGCACACCACGCCATCTTTTAGAAATGTGGGTTCATATTTGGTTGAGACGTTTCAACTTTTACTCACCCACTCAAAAAGATAGATATTGATCAATGAGATTCCAACCTATTTTCACATACTCAAAAAGACAGCCGGAAATGTGTTGGATTCCCAACGTGTTATCACTATGCTTTCAACAATTACAATGGAAAAAAACAATGTCGGGTTTTTATCACTGCGCTTTCAATATCAGATATTTTGTATTTATACAACAACTTAATGTGTTATCACTGTGCTTCATCTAATAGAACAACCAAATGACCTGGGTTGCAGTTGAGATTACATTAATAGTACATTAACAGTACATTAAAAGTACATGATCAATGCTGTTCGAGATTCTGCGCAGATTATTATAGCAACTGTGAAGATCTCCACAGACCTGAAACCTTTGCACACTATCTTGAGCAATGCACCGCTTTCTATGATTACGTAAGAAGACATTTATAGTTACACTAACCTCAGAATGTGGCCATGGATGTGTTACTCATTTTGATGTTGAATAAATACATTCGTTTGTGAGATAGCCTTAACTATAGTCATATTGAATTGTGTTTGGTTGACAACCCAACCAAATATCAACAAGCTATATAATGCCTGGATAGTTTCATCTGAACTACTGGCTTTAATCAGTTTCTTTAACTTTTATTTTTGGTTTTAGTTGGAGACGTGAATCCAACATTTAATTTGTTAACCCCATCAGTCCGAGATCCCAGCTAAAATCGGCTTTTCATTTATCTGCATGTCCAGAAAATATATTTAGCCTCACTGTGAAGTGTTTTACCATTTTATTTTCAGGACAACCAGGGCTACAAGTAGAACACAAAATAATTAGTCATAAACAGTTGCTTTCATGAGTTCTATTGACAAAGGTCTGCCAAATCAAAAACCTGATAAAAAATGAATTTATGTGAATGCCGTAAGTAAATAAATTGTTTGCTCAGTGGGAAATTAATATCCAACCTGTCAGTGACAACTGTGTGGAGTTTTGTGACAGCAACTATATGAACGTATTACAGTATCATAGACACTACAGTATGTCCTGGGGCTTCCTCTGATCTTCTATGTAGAAGAACCCTTTACCTTCTAACGACTCAGTATTATAGACACTATGTCCTGGGGCTTCCTCTGATCTTCTATGTAGAAGAACCCTTTACCTTCTAACGACTCAGTATTACAGACACTATGTCCTGGGGCTTCCTCTGGTCCTCTATGTAGAAGAACCCCTTACCTTCTAACCACTCTTGTGTAGCTTGTGAGTGTCATGTTACACGTGCGCGTTCGTGGGAGTCTCAGCTTTTCATAGATAGCTTTTAATAGTTTGTAGCTCAAACTATTCGGACTCTACAGATGTTTTTGTAAAATGTCCCGGCCCCAGGCCCCTTGATCCACCGCTCTAGCTCAGTCCCCATTCATCACACAGACTAATGGATTTGGTTGAGATGGAGAAGTGAATCCAACATATCAATTATTCATTTGTAGAAAAACTGGAATTAAAGCCAGATTAAATCAGTGGCACAGATGGAACTATCCAAGCAGAAGACGCATCTCTTTCAAATGTTCATATTTGGTTGCGTTGACAACCAAACACAATTCAACATCCAGTTTACAAATTAATAATTGACATGTTGGATTCATGTGTCCATAAAACAAAATCTAAGTTAAAGAACAGGACTAAATCAAATCAAATCAAACTTTAAATGCACTTTAAATAAAGTTTGATTTGATTTAGTCCTATTTTTGCTTGAGATGGAGATGTGAATCCAGCATATGAATGATTAACTTTAAGATTAATATGAAATCAACCAAAGCTTTAAACCCTAGGCCTATACGTATCGTCTATTTTTAGTGGAACCCTGGGTTGAAATGAAACAATAGCTGTTGATGACTTCCATAATGCTATAAAGGCTTAAATAGTATCATTGATGATATACAGTATGACTTATAAAGTATGGTTACATTTCATTTGCTCTGTTAAAACCCCCTAGAGTTGATTGATGCACCGGTGCGTCAATCTAAGTTACATAACAAAACACTCCCCATCAAATTCCATCAGTTTAAGCTAGAGATATCTTTGAATTGGATGCGTCTCAATCCACCACGTCCACCAGCGTCACACTTCCTCATCCGCGGTGAAAGGTGGCAGAGCTACAGCGGTGTTTGTCAGACCACGAGACGTCCCGAAAAATCGGTCTTCTCGCGTAAACGTCTGTAGCATCCGAACAGTTTGACCTACAAAACTAATGGGAACCCACGGTGGAAAGGGGAGATTCTCATCCATGGTGTTCTCCATTTTGCTCTACGACCCCCACAAGTGTCACAGTATTCTTCTGAAGGTAACCAGTACCGGTTTTAAAAAACTAATGGAAGTATGAAGGTAGTTTTGAGCCTATATATCTCCTAGATTTAGGACAGACACTTCAAAACCTTGTTTCTTATGAATGTTTTATTCAATGCGGTTCTCTAGGCTGTAGTAGTAAAGGCCAAATTCTATATTTTATCAAATCATTTTTTTATATATATATATTTTTTATACCTACAATTCCAAATCAAATAGCTAAATGATCCATAGTATGACCATCTTAAAACAATTCCATAAGTCAGCTTAGCAGCTTAGCTGCTGTCTATGGTATTAAAGAGCAGCAGGAAATTTTTCCCAGGCCTGGGGCTTCGTACATGGCCCCTGCCTCATTCCATTACCTTCTGTTCTATATGCTTCCCTTCCTGTCTAGTCCCATTACCTTCTGTTCTATATGCTTCCCTTCCTGTCTAGTCCCATTACCTTCTGTTCTATATGCTTCCCTTCCTGTCTAGTCCCATTACCTTCTGTTCTATATGCTTCCCTTCCTGTCTAGTCCCATTACCTTCTGTTCTATATGCTTCCCTTCCTGTCTAGTCCCATTACCTTCTGTTCTATATGCTTCCCTTCCTGTCTAGTCCCATTACACCTGTTCTATATGCTTCCCTTCCTGTCTAGTCCCATTACACCTGTTCTATATGCTTCCCTTCCTGTCTAGTCCCATTACACCTCCTCTATATGCTTCCCTTCCTGTCTAGTCCCATTACACCTGTTCTATATGCTTCCCTTCCTGTCTAGTCCCATTACACCTCCTCTATATGCTTCCCTTCCTGTCTAGTCCCATTACACCTGTTCTATATGCTTCCCTTCCTGTCTAGTCCCATTACACCTGGGACTAGACAAATGCACGCACACGCACATATGCACCCACGCATGCAGGCACGCACACACACAGGTACACACAGACACAGGTACGCACAGACACAGGTACGTGTCTCTCTCTCTCTCTCTGCTTTATTCTCATTTCCTACCCACAACCTAGTTTACTCATTTCAAACACTGTAAGATGGATGCATTATGATAATTTACCATTTAGTAGGGGGATTTGAACAACAGCAACTTGATGTAGAAGTCACGCAAAAACAGACAAGATAACCATAATCGGAAGCATATAGAATGTTCAACGAGCATGTGTCCACATACTTTTGGCCATGTGGTGTATGTGTGCCTCTGCTCGGTCTGGGACTCTGGTGTGGAAAAATACAGTGACTCTGGCAGACGTTGCAGACGATGACGTCTCCAAATACTATGCACAAGGAAAGTTCTCTCTGCTTTGAAAAAGAAAAAAGCTGTTTTTTTTCACTGAGAACTTGGACAACCACCTCTAACAAACATATAGCTAGGTAGTGTCTGAGAGGAAGCTAGTGATGTGAGAACCTACAGTGAAAACAAAAACACTGGTACCATCTCCGAGAAATGTCCATATTTAGATTGGAGGGCTACTGTGTTCCCAAACTTCCTATCTAATGATATTTTAACATATTCATACTTAGTCTTGTTTTCTTAAATGATGTGGAAGTCAATCAGTTCAGTGGAAGGATGACTGACGTAACAGCAAAACATACTATTTTATTTGGAAAGCGGTGCTCATAATCAAACAGGGTAGAGGTAGAGGAAACAGCGGTATAAAGTGGCCCTTTTTTAGCAGGTATTTAATTTGGAGGTTTGTTGGGTTGGGGCATGAACTAAACTGAGAGGAAAACAGCCCTGGCAGATCTCAACGGTTTTCAAAGAGGCTTTAAAGGCTGCAGGATTAGGGAATTCTTTCTGCTTCTCCAGGGTGATATAACCGGTGGTTAAATGACTTGAAAAAGAAGCCTGGCGGCTATAGCGGGACTAGGGGCTAGCCTCTGTGTCCTGTCAGTCAGAGGAGGACCTCAGCATGGTAAATAGACAAACGTTTACCGGCAGTAAATGTACATTTTGAAAAACACTGGAAAAGTCCCTCTCAAAGACTCAATGCACTTTTGAACTCATGTACTTATTTAGAAAAAAGATATAGAAAATCGAAGAAATAGATTCATTAAATAAATCTAGTCATACGGTGTTAGTCTTGAGAAATATATTAACAAAATATTTTCTGTATGAGTGGTAT